CCATTTTTACTCAGTTTTGAGGCTTAAATGATATTTTAAATGATGTTTTGGGTTGAGAACTACTGTTTTACTAATGCCTGAGGGGCTTTGTGAGGATTTTCGGACTGAGTGAGGCCGAGGGCCATATGTGAGGATCTACTGAGTGATATAAGGTCGAGGGCCTGAGATACTTGTTTACGCCACGAGGTGGCTTGAGCGATGTGAGGCCGAGTGCCGAGTGATGTAAGGTAGAGTGCCGAGTGATGATGCCACGAGGTGGCTTGATATAGTGCTAGGGCCATAAGGGACCCATCGGGAGTCTGCACACCCACAGTGATTGCGGGTACCCATTATTCCGAGAGTGAGCCCGAGGGGCTGATACTATTCTAAGAGTGAGCCCGAGGGGCTGATACGAGTGATTGTGAGGTAGCCCGAAGGGCTGGTACTGTTTTGAGATATTGCCCGAGAGGCGAACTTTTATGTGTTCCTCTTTCATATTTACTTGTTATTTTACCTGTTATACTGTGGTATTTGTGTCCGAGGGGCGGATTTTCTGTGCTTATCGGCACTAACTGTTTTGCAATCATTGCGTAATTGTTGAAAAGGTCATTTTCAAAAGAGGTTTAAACTAAGCTAAGATATTTCTAAAGATTTCACAGCTTCACTACTTTTCTCAAAGGGTTTTACACTGCTTCTATACATCATGTTGGTTGCTTTACGTGATTTCTTACTACTCAATTGTTATTTACCTTTATTACTCACTAAGTTGGAGTACTCACTTTACTCCATGCACCTCATGTGCAGATGTAGGTATTTATTCCCCCGGCAGCGGGTTTTGTGCTGATCGAAGGCTGAGTTATTGGAGTTTAGCAAGGTGGCTGCCAGCGTTCACAACACCGCTTTTCTCCCTTTTCATTCATCCGTCCTGTTTTGTACATTTCAGACCTTGTAGTTGTCTTTATACTTTAATAGATGCTCGTGACTTGTGACACCCCGGTTTGGGCTGTGTCGGGATGGTTTCCCTTTTGTTATTTTCGTTGTTTCCGCAATTATGGCTATATTAATCATGTTTTAGACTTGTTTATGTTAATTAATTGTTAAAAGGTGTGTTTCGTTTGTTTTGGCTGACCTTGTCTTCACGAGAGGCGCCATCACGACGGGGTTCGGGAATTGGGTCGTGACATGTGACAGGAAGAAATGCTAGCTGTACTAAAAGACAAAAGTGACAAGTGACATAAAGTAAAGAAGATGTGACAAGAGGTAATGTTAGTTGTGCTAAAAGACAAGTTAAAATTTTGAGTGGAAGAAAAAGTTACGAACACGAAAGGAATCTCCAACCAAGCCATGTGAAGATGGGGCCTAATAAAGTACCCTGCAAGGCTGGACAAGATAGATTTCGAAAGAGTTTGGAATCCATTTTTCAAATTCGCTCAAAAATTTAGCTATAAAAGGGAGAAGAAAGCAGACGGAAAACAAGAGAGAACAAGAAGAAAAACACTCTGAAGAAAACCCATCCAACCAACTTTTCATCAACCAAAATCCCTCTCCCAAAAACTTTGTAAAATATTTCTTTATGAATACTTTAGTAGTTCCTCCTCTAAGCTTGTAAAATAAATAAGTCTTTATGCTTATATGTGATCGTTTTTAATTCTCAAAGCTCAGTAGACTTTTTCGGGTTTCCCGAAAGGGAAATCTCTCTCCTATAAGCATGTAAGTTACTCATCTTTATTTAAATTATGAATTTGCTAGATATTACCCCTGTTTATTTTAAATTTTTTTGTTATTTTGTATAGTTTTATGTTTCATGTTCATATGCTCGATTATTAGATATCACTCTTAGTATATGGTTAGCTTCCCAATTTCTTAACAATTATGATGGATTAACCTGTAAATTCCTAGGAGAAACTGGTTAAGTAAAACCCGAAAACAATTAAGAAGGATATAAATGTTTAACCATGACCGGAGTGAAGTTAAAGAAATAAGAGTTAAGAAAAGTGTTAAAATCTTTAAAAGATTGGGAAGAAGAGATGAACAGAGTGGATTAAAAAAAAGACTAGTAAAGGGGTAATCTCAGTTCATAATAATATGGTAACTATACAAGTCTATAGAATAAGAGAGAGAGAGTACCGAGTAGGATTTTCACAACATAAGAGTTTAATCGCAAAAAATAATTTTATTGTTAATGTCCAATAATCGTAATAACTATACAAATCCAGAAAGCTTTGTTATGAGTCTTACTCAAAGTTTGGAAGAATTTATATTAGACATAGAAACCGAATTTTATTCGATAGTAGATTTGGCCGTACATTTTATATATCTACAATACAATTGTAGTATCTGTTTAGATATATATAGAAAACAACTGCATTTGATATTGTTAATATTATCATATCATCAGTCATATCATCTATACCATCTAAGAAAACGATTTTAATTTTTTAACCCTAACTTTTTAGATGACTTTAATTTTTTAACCCCCTCTTATATAACTTTATAACCTTATTTATATAACTTTATAATATATATAACTGAATTTGAATTAAAGAATAATTTTAAATTTATATATAAAGTATTTAAATTTTTTTAAAAAAAGAAATTTATCTTTTTTTATCAAGTTATCATACTTAATTTGGTTAATGATCATATGCAATCATGCTAGGAACTTTTGTTATCTTTTTTGATTATTTAAATACTATTGCGCCTGTGAAAAAAAATTATTCCATATAACTGGTATGACATGATTTTTTTAAAAATGTAAATAAATTATTTCAAAATGGGATTATTTTTTAAAATATAATGTAATTTAAAAAATAAAAGGATAAGAAATTTTTGAATTTTAGTAGTGTTTTTAAATTATTATAATAGAAGTCATATCATGGATAAAATCAAGAAACCAGAATCTTATAGAATATTTACATAAATATTTGACCAGATTTATTGTTTACTTTTTATAGCTAATATCCATAGATAATATACTGGCAACACACGATTATACACATATTATATATGAATTATATATAAATTACACATTCTTCAATTTTTTAATTTAAGTGGTAAGGCGAGCACTTATTTAGGTTGATTAGATATAGCCAAAAAAAATTATGGAAGAATTTCAACTGAAGACTAAAAATATAAATAAAGTTTTTATGTAGACAATTTCTATTTAAACTCGTCCTTTTATAGAGAAATAAATTAATGTTTTGCAAAAACAAAAAAAAAAAGACATAAAAATAAGATAAAAAAAATAAATATATAAAAAAATGTATGAAAAATCTAATAACCAGAAATAAGAGATGACAACGAATATCTTCCTCTGTTTTATCTATGTAAGTATAAAAAAATTGAAAGTTGATATCATCGATTTTAAATATTTTTTTCAACTCAAATACATAGATTATAAGACAAGGATATCTTAGAATATTTATTTTACATTGTGTGTCGTTTTTAAAGAATCACTATTACTAATAAAATGATATGATATCTGAATTTGAATATGAATGCAATTTGAGTAGTTTGTATTGAGGTTAAGCCAAGTATGATGTCGAGAAAAACTATTTGGCAATTTCAAGATAATATATGCAATGTTACATACTAAAGTCAACTAATGTAACATTTAATGATTCAAAGAACAAAAAAAATTATATATATAGGCGGAGGCAGATGTAGAGTGTTGACAACAGGTTCAATTAAACCCATAACTTTTTACGCTGAGCAAAACTTTATATGTAAAAAATTCTTAAAATTATAAAAAGAGTAGATATGAACACGTAACTCTAAAAATATAATGAGTACAATGCTAAAACCTTAAAATTGAATCCATAAAGTATAAATTCTAGATCCACCTTTGTATATTGGGTATTCCAAATTCAAAATTTGTGGCTAGAGATATCGATAAACTCAAAATGACGTCATATTGAAATAAAATATCACCGGCTACNTGTGTATAAAGTTTTAGAAATTGGAATGCCAAAATAGAAATATTTTTTGAAAGATAACAACATACCAAATAAGAGTTCAAATCGTAGTAAAAGAGTCATGTTGTAACCAAAAAATCATTCATATTGTATCAACACTTTGTGTTTTGACATAAATACAAGTTATTATTTCACTTTTTGGCTATTTTTAGGTTCCAATGACACCAATGAGAATGGTGCAAAAATAAAATTATCACTACGAGATTTGAAAAAATGTTAGTCTTTTTTCATGTACTGTCTCGTAATTGATATCTAACGATTATCTAGAAGGTTTAAATTATAAGGTTATTTACATATCATTTAAATAACTCGGATATTTAATATGGTTAATGTCAAATATCAAAATGGAGTCATACTGGAAAAAAAATTTACTGGCCAAACAATTTTGTAAATTTTTAGATAGCCGAATAAAATGAGTTTTGATTTAAGGATAATATTTTCACTTACAACAACAACAACAACAACAACAACCTAGTATAATCCACTAGTGGAGTTTGGGGAGGATAGTGTGTATGCAGACCTTACCCCTACCCTGGGGTAGAGAGAGGTTGCTTACCATCAGAGCAACCCCTCTTGTACTTACATTATTATAAAATAAATTATTATTTAAAAATAATGTTTTAGAAACTGAAATTTTAAAATAGAAATAATTTTTGAAAAATATCAACGCACAAAATAAGAGTTCAAGTAATATTAAAAGAGTCAAGTCGTATCCAAAAAAGTTCTTCATAGTCTCAACCTTTGATTGTTTTGTCATAAATATGAGTTATTATTTTGCTTACCGACTAATTTTAGGATCCAATGACACCGGCGAGAATGATATCAAAAAATAAAAATAAAATTATATCTAAAAAATTTAAGAAATAATTAATTTTTTTATATAGTGTTTCTTAATTTATATCCAATGATTATCTATATTTAATAGAGAAAATTTAAGTTTTAAGATTATTTACATATAACTCAAATAACTCAAATATATTAAATGATTAGTGTTTGAGCTATTTTAAGTAGCTAATTGGGGCAGTTCGCCCGTAAAATAGAGTCAATCTCGTGCTCCACACGTGCACCAAGCTCCCTGAAACGACAGCGGATCTGCTACTCCCAGACGGTGTCTCGTCTCACTGCGGGCGCTGAGAGAAAAGGAGATCTGCAAAACGTAACGTTACCACCGAATAGAAAAAAGAGATGGCTTTGATGGCAGTGTTGGAGTCAGATCTTCGAGCGTTATCGGCAGAAGCTCGCCGGCGATATCCTGCCGTCAAAGATGCTGCAGAGCACGCTATTTTGAAGGTTCTTTCTCAAAGTATTATTTTTTCAATTTTTTTGACTCTAAATAAATATTGATTCATATTTATATATAACTATGCAGTTAAGATGTTTGTCGAGCCCGAGTGAGATAGTACATAACGAGGATATACTAAAGATATTTTTGATGGCGTGTGAAGTTAGGACTGTGAAAATGAGTGTGATTGGACTTTCTTGTCTGCAAAAGCTCATTTCTCACGATGTAGTTGCTCCATCAGCTTTAAAGGAGATTCTCGACACCCTCAAAGATGTAAGTTCTGATATATATATATGTTCTCTCTACCTTGGATATATAAGCAAGTTCGTTGTTTGAGAAAATGCCTGCCATAAGTTAACAACATTGCTAGCGCAGAAATCAAATTAAATTAGAGCTGACAGTCAGTTTGATCTTGATAGTGCCTTGATTGCAATATTTCTACAGTATAATATAATGGATTTTGGGTCCCCTCTACAAACCTTTGAGCCTTATCATGCTTTGTTAAATCTATCATAAGGAACAAAGGTCTGATGTTGTTGAAAGTAACAAAATCCGATCTAAGAGTGTCTCATTGTAGGCAAATAATGAAAATCCAAAGAAGAATATTTCAAAACACAATAAAGACTTCCCAAGCATAATCTATTTGAAAAAAAAGCATGANCAACATTTTTGATAAAAAGGTATTAAAAGCAAAATATGCTGGATTTAAGGCAACGTGAAATAGTATAGCTGCTATTTCTTCCCATGCTATTTCAAGGTCAAGTATTAAACACTTATCATGTTTGGGTACCTTTGGTGGATTCTGAGTTCAAACTTAACCAAGCTCTTTTATTTTGAGCACCTCAAGTACTCAGCAGAGAACCCGGACACGTAGTGTAGAAACTAAATAACCTGCATTTGAAGGACAAAGGTGAATGAGGGGTAATCTGATTTATTTGAAGTACAAAGTTAGCAATGCCGAAAGATGCACCATCACATTATGCTTTGAGGAACTTGAAAATCAATCTGCAAAAAAGATGGTTATTGCTATTGGGTTCTAAAAGCTAACTTTTAGCAAGTTCTGTGTTACTAACGAGATATAATATCCACATGATCTTTCGTCTATAATTCATACCAATAGTATTTTCCTCCTTCCGGTCTGAAATATTGTTGTATGCTTTTACACTATATTTGCCTCATATAAAATCTGTCTCTTCTCTAAATCTTTTCACAGCATGGGGAAATGGCTGATGAGAGTCTTCAGCTTAAGACCTTGCAGACTATCCTCATAATATTTCAATCTCGTTTACAACCTGATAATGAGGTAATAATTAATCTATTACCTCTTCGATTATCATAGTAAGTTGTTGGCTATTCTCTATGTGTTGCTGAAATATGGCTGAATCAGTGGTATCGGACATTGAACAACTAAGTGACTTTTGCCTAAACAGAAAAGGGCAAAACTCGTTCATGTATGCTTAATCTAGTTTTGTCTGTTCTTTTGGAAAAAAGCAGGAATTTGCTAGACTTTTGAGCGCATATGATGGAAACTGATATCCTTTGTGGGTACCTTGCTGTTGAATCTTATCTATGAATGTTGACTCCACGTGTAATATCTTTAGTTCCCTGTCTAGCATGAATGACAGTATGGTAAAGTACATAACTGAGTTCTAACACCTTTTATGTGAGTATTGAATGTTGCTCAAAACTTATGGTTATGGTTGATGAATTCAAAACATTAGTTTGAATTTTGACAGTGAAACATAATATGTATAAGTATGCATAACAGAAAAAACATACTGCTGCATATTAAAGAATGAAAAAATCTAGCTTCTAGCTAGTATGTGATAACATGTAATACAGGGAATGCCGGGGGAGAAATGAGGGAAGTGCTGGAGCTTAGAAAAAATCCTTCTTATAATTCCTTCAATGGTTTCCAGTTTTCCTCTTTAGGTGGGAAATGTTATTTTGAGAGAATTGTGGTTGGTCTTCCTTTTTTAAAATGGATGTGCATTAACTTTTTTTTAACTTTCAGGACTACACCGCTCAAGCACTTGTTATCATTCTTCGTCTTCTTGAAAACAATAGATCCTCTGATAGCGTGCGAAAGTGAGTTTAAAGGGTGAAATTAAAACGCATTCAGTTGGTTGTTCCCTTTTATCTCTTGTTTCATTTGGGTGCTCATTCTTGGCAAATTGTCTCAGTACTGCTGCAGCAACTTTTAGGCAAGCCGTAGCATTGATATTTGATCGCGTGGTTTCTGCTGAGTCACTTCCACCAGGAAAATTTGGTTCTGGAGTGTACATTTCTCGTAGCAGTTCAGTTAGTAGTGATGTTAATCGCAATATAAATCAGCTAGAGTATGTACACATCCTGATAACTTTTTTTAACCGCTACACATCCTAATATTATAATGGATTTAGTTTTTTCTGTCCTCTTCTCTGCATGTCTAGCAACTTTTTATTATATTCCGCTCATGGTGATTCAGCAACTTAATAGATAATTGAGTGGTCTGGCCTGTCTTTGTTTCTTGCATACATACCTACTTTGTCAACTATCTGTTATATTCCCTCTATCTATGCCGACGTATTTAGTCATTTTTGGTATTGCACCTATGCTAATCCGTGAGTGATCCCTTGAAGATTCGTGAAGAACCCTATTCGTTTAAATTTTATATTTCAAGTATTCTTCCTCGACGACATCTTGTCCCTTCTTGTTGTACTCTTCCTTCTTATTGACTATATCTTTCTTTCTTAATGAGAGAATGTTTGCTTCTGTATAAAATATTCTACTGGCATTTAAGAAGTTTAAGTTAGTGGTTGATCTAACTGGGTTGTTTAAACAAATTGATTGCTTATCTTATGAAGTCTGATGTTATGATTTACGAATTTCAATTTCTCGACGTACTTGAACAGGTTGTTGGAGCAGGAGTTTTCTTCTGGAGGTCCATCGCTAATGAGGGATACCCTAACTAAATCTGGAAAGCTTGCACTTCGGTTGCTTGAGGACCTGACAGCTCTTGCTGCAGGTGGATCTGTATGTGCCAATATAAGTGGTTCTTCTTCTTGTTTGCAAGATGTTCAAATTCTATGGACTGCCTACTTTCTGGAAGTGTTACATTATAAATGTGGTTTCTGTTACTTATCAAAAAATAATAAAAATAAATGTGGTTTCTGTTGCAAATGGAAGCTTTAGATTCCTCCCTGATATTATGTCTGTTTTATACTTCAGGCTGTCTGGCTACGTGTCAGTTCCATTCAACGGACATTTGCACTTGATCTACTTGAGTAATAATCTAACCTTCTAGATTAATATTTTTATCCCTTTGGATATGGATTTGCTTGATGCTTGTGAAGTGTATCACATGAATGTGGAGCATTAATACTTTTATCCCCTTAAATATGGATTCTGCTTAATGCTTGTGAAGTGTACCACATGAATGTGGAGTATTATAATACTTATCTCTTCAAAGTAAATATCGTACTTGCTCAACAAAGCTAAGTACTGTTAGATTTCCAACTTTTGAGAAATACATTATTTTCCTAGAGCCCTAACTTGTAGAGTTTTGAAATTTTGCCATTCTTTTCCAAAAGGCATATTTGGATTGAGTAAGTCATTCAGACTTTCTTGTTCTATTTACATTATACATACGCACANTATAATGTATTTGATAACCGAGAACTTCGAGGACCATTTGGCGTACTTTCGAGACTATGATGGATAATGAGCTCGCCCCTCACCCTTTTCCATCTAAATATCAGGTTTTTATCTAAGACGGGGTTCAAACTCGCAACTTGTGTCCACCCCACATATCATGCGCTTCGTTCTTTCTGCTAGACCAAAGCCTTGGAGACTCTATCTATCTATCTATCTATCTATCTATCTATCTATCTATAATAAGCCTGTTAACTCTAGTAGGACAACATGCATTTGAATTGAATCGACCTAAAGGACTAGTAACATTGGTCTCAATCCAACTGTGATGAACCACTCTTTGTCAGTTTCATCTGTTAACAAGATTCACCTCTTATCATGGACTATTAATGCATAGTAGGAGTGAATTGCTTTAGCTTTTGCACCGGATAATTGGATCTAGCATGCCTTTGTTAAGGATGCCAAGAATATTGTTAATTATTCTAAGGTGTATATCAATAAGAGTTAGTAGGGATCAATTAGAGAGATTATTTTTCCAGTGATTATGTAACCTTGATGTACTTTCCTATTTTAGAATAAGTGTACATTATTACTTGAACACCCAACAACTTGAGAAATCATCAAGCCTCGCATTCTCTCAATTCTTTGTCGTGCTTCTTCTTTCTCACTTGTATCAAAGCATTGGTGAAAATGATCGATGTGTATTTACCAACGATATTAGGGATAGAACTTTTTTGGTTGCAATGCAATTTTCTGGATAATGCGAGTGTTGCTCGAACATTACCTTAACATCTCATAGATAAAAAGAGTGCTATGCAAATCTTTCTTAGCTTCCGCGAGTGTTGCATATAAACCAACACTAGAGTATGAATAAAAACTCTCGTGCGAGCACAACCCAAAAAGACACACCGTCACTTGAGTCCATATGCGCCTCCGTGCGATGTCTAGAGGCAAGAATGTTCGGTGAAATTATCTTAGGCCCTGGCACTGTGAGTCCATTCAACTTCGCCTCTTGAACCCGAGTTTACCTATATAGGTTCCGAGCCATTCCAACCAATTGCAACCCTAGTTAGAGTACTCCATTATGTTTTTGGCGTGTTTCTCAACTTTTCTAATTTTCCATCGGCTGCTACCCACTGTTTTGACACCTTTAGAATAGATTGAAGTAGGCGACTCCACCCAACATATTGGAGGATGAACTTCTATCTCTAATAAAATATAGATTTTCTGATGATACTCTGGCAAGTTTTCCGACGATAAGACTATTTAGATAACCTCATTTAGAGGTTGTTTTTTTCAAGTTTTGTTTCAGAAAACTTCATATATTTAGTTGCATTGAGTTCCTTAAGTACAAGGCATGTAAACAAAATTCTTCTCAAATTGCATCCACGGTGCAAATTGGTAATCCACTTATGCCTCAGGTCCTCTGGTTTTCTACCTTGAACCATTGATTCAAAAGCCTTCGATCATATTCCTGGTAATAAATTCCTCTTTATAATTTCTTACTCTTGTTCTGAATCCCTTCATAAAGTCACATTGGCTACAGTGTTGTTAAAGGCTTCCTTAAAGTGTGCTTAAGCCCTGAAGCTTAGTAAAGCCCAGGTTGTGTGCTTCACCTCTCTTAATTGGCACTTTAGTAGAGGCATCAAGGCGTTAAGGTGTGCGCACCAATGGGTTGTCTTTAAGGGCACAACTTCATCTATAGCTTAATTATAATTTGTCCATTCTTTTGAAATAATTATTAATTGTGTTTATAGTCACAAGTTTTGGTAGTTCATTTCTGTTTTTATTTTTTTTCCTCGGTGCTTTTCTTCCCTTAAGCCCATGATTTAATTACGCTTTTCGCTTAAAGCTCCAACCAACTTTGGAGTTTTTTTGCTCTTTTGAGTACTGTGATTGGCTAATGGATCCCAAACCATGACTATTAGAGTAGGTTAAGCTATTTCTTTACCCTTTTTGACTTTAAATTCAGTCCTTTATGTTTTTGGTTGTTTATCAATCCCATATTGGTTAATTGCCTACTTGAAACACTTAGTTGTTCGTGTAGGATCATAGTATGAGACAAGTAATTGGTACTGCATGAATCACATGGACTTTTCTACCTTGACATACTGAAACCATCCATCTGTTATTCTATTACTGAATCTCCTTTTTTTTTTTTTGGTCATCCTTATCTTCTATTTTTATCCTAAGTCTACATGTGAAGCTCTCTTGCCCAAAATATCGATGTGTTATGGTTGAGAAGATATTGCTCTGCACTCTAGTGGTACTTGGGAGCTTGTCCCTTTGCCTCTAGGAAAATTTCCTGTTGGTTATAGTGGATTTATGCATCAAGGTTGGTTTGGATGGTTAAATTGATCGATTTAAGGCTTGTTTTAGTTGTCAATGATTATACTCAGATATTTAGGATTGATGCTGGTGATACATTCCTTCTTCTGGCCAAGATTGTCTCTGTACTTTATTGTTTTTAGTTTGGCCGCTGTTCGTCAATGGCCTCTGTATTAGTTGAAAATAAAAAAATGCATTTTCTTTAAGGGGATCTAGAATATGAGGTGTAAATGGAGCACCCACCAACTCTTGTAGCTCAGTGAGATTCTAGTGGTCTGGTATGTCGATTAGGTCGATTCTTATATGGTGATCATAATTTGGTAAGCTCAACAAAGTTATTCAGGACTTTGGCCAGATCCGCAATGAAGATAATTATCTTGTATTTTATCGCCATTCCACTCCAAATCTTTGCATGTGTCTGGTATTTATGGTGATATAGTTATCGCATGTGATGATTAAAAGGACATCCTTAAGCTGAAGTATCATCTCTTTCAACATTTTCAGATCAAACATCTTGGCTAGTTGAGATACCACCTAGGTACTGAAGTCGCTCAATTCAGATTGGATATTGTAATTTCATAAAGGAAGTATGCTCTTGATATTCTCAAGGAGATAGAAATGACAAACTATAGGCCTATCAATGCTAATATGGATATGAATGTTAAGCTTATACCAGATTGAGGGAACCCCTTAGTGATCATGGACTACATAGGAGTTCTGTTGACAATTTGAGTTATCTTACTGTACTTGATTGGATATTGCTTTTCAGATAAGCATAGTAAGTGAGTTCTTGGATTCTTATATGACAGTCATTGATATGCGGTAATTTGTATTCTTTGGTATATAAGATCTGCTCCAGCAAAAGGATTACTTTCTGAGCATCAAGAACATGTAGATTGTTGGGTATATAGATGCAGATATTGAATAGAGTCACCTTCTAAAAATGATGTACTTCCGGATATTGCATTCTGGTTGGAGGTAATTAGCATCTGGAAAAGTCAGTTCATGGATTCTTAAGTGAGTCATTGATATGCAGTAATGCATGTTCTTTGGCGTATAAGATCTACTCCAGGAAAAGGATTACTTTATGAGGATTGAGGACATGAGTAGTTGTTGGGTATATAGATGCAGATATTGGATAGAGTCACCTTCTAACAAATGATGTACTTCAGGATATTGCATTCTGGTTGGAGACAGTTTAGCTTCTGGAAGAGTAAGAAACAAAAAGTAGTTGTAGGATTCAATGTAGAAGCAGAATACCAGACTATGGTAGAAGCTACTTGTTAGCTCATATGGATCAAGCAGCTACTGAAAACATTTGGAGATATTGATTAGATGTAACTTGTGTGATAATCAGGCTGCCCTTCATGTAGCATGAAGTTCTGTGTTTCACGAGAAAACTAAACATATGGAGATTGATTGTCATTTTGACAGAGAAAAGATACTCTTAGGAGATATCATTGCAAAGTTCGGGAAGTGGAATCAGCTTGCAGATATATCGCCAAGTCTCTTTCTTGTCCCTGAGTTATCTGCATATATAACAAGTTCAGCACAGAGTGCTAATAATATTGTGTGATTTTTGCATATTGTACGTCAATTAGAATCAGTAGGAATTAGTTAAGAAAATTATGTTTCCTGCAATTATGTAACTTTGACATAATTTCCTCTTTTAGAGTAAGTTTAAATTATTATTTAAAGCCTCTAGTAGCTTGAGGAAATTATCAATCTTCATATTCTCTCAATTCTCTCTTGTGTTTTTATTAACATTTTTTCTGGTGTGCATGATTTCATCTAGTTTAGTATAGGTGTAGAGGATTCATATAGCCGTCCCCAACTACTATTATGGAGTTAGGCATAGTTGATTGATTTGATTGTCCATGAGTCGAGAACCTTCATGCTATATATAATGAATAGGCCATACTTTAGAGCATGAACTACAGTAGCAGCTGTAGTATTTTATCCAGCATTGTTTTACTGGAATCTAAGGATTTTTTGGGTAGTTATTGACATCTTCTTGCATGATTTGAATAAATTGATTTTTAGTTATTCAAAAAAAAAATTGTAGAAGAAGAAAGATGAAGAACGCAACTAAGAAAACATGTTTATGCAGATGGTCTGTACAAATAAGTCTGAAGAGTTTTCTGTAGCTGTTGACTAATTTATTTAATATGTTTCATGATTTGATTTTACTTCTCATGTTGCTTCATTGTTTTTCAGGTTTATTTTGTCCAATTATGTGGTGGTGTTCAGAGCGTTGGTTCCTTATGAAGAGGTATAGAGATATCGTCTTTACTTCTATCTGAATTGATTATGCCCATTCTCTAATCGTTAGCTTCTATATAGCAGGTTCTTCGTCGCCAGATATGCTCACTGCTAATGACATCACTTCGTACTGATACTGAGGTGATAGTTCTTCCATCCGAAATTTAGTGTCAGTGAAACAGATTTAAGGCTTAAGCATAAACTTTAAACTGCTGTCATCGCAAGAATCTGGTTCTCTTAATTTCTTTTGTATCTTATACATTATCCTCTGAGCAGCCTGAAGGAGAATCCGGAGAACCTTATTTTCGGCGTCTGGTGTTGCGTTCAGTAGCCAACATAATCAGGCTATACAGTTCTTCACTTATCACTGAATCTGAGGTAAATATTTAACCATTTTATGACATTTGCTGTTCCTTTTGGTGGTCATTATGGATTCTTTCCGAGAAGAAATTCCATCTATGTTGACAGACTGATTGCCTTACGTTAAGAGTATTGTAAATGATATGATGTTCAACTAGAATTAGTCAAGAGTTAATTAGATTGATTGTTTCATGAAATTAGATAGTCAGAATATTTTTTCCTATAGTATAACTTGTACATTCACTATTTAGATCCGGTAGCTTGAGGAAATATCAAGTTAAGTTTTCTCTCAATATTCTTTCCTGTGTTTTTTATTTCTCATTGATGTCGGAGCTTGTATGAGGATTTAATTGCTGCACATTTACCGATGATGTCCAGGAAGAAAACTTTGCCGCTGTGCATTTTTTTGGCGGCTGAGCAATTGATTGTCAAATTCCATGAGTGTTGGGCATCAACCAACACCAACACTAGGTTTGGAAGTTTAGGCGACCACACCCCAGAAAGCCCATTCATATAGGACCCTCATGCGCCTCCATGCACTGATCTAAGCTCAGGAAATTCTGGCGAGATCTCTGCACGCACCGCGCGTGTGCAGTCCTCTGGCGACATTCTGGCAAAATTCTTTTGATTGGGCTTGCCTCTTCATTTCAAATCTACCCATAGTTCCCGCTGCATTCCGATTGCTGGACCTTAGTTTGTGATAGTCATTCAGCTTTTTCGACGAGACTTTCTGGTTACCGGTCAGTTCTTCACTGTCTAGTCATCTTTCCACCATCTTTTTAGCATCAGTCAAGTCAACTTGGACTCTGGAACTCTTACCTTTCCATCATCCTTTTAGCATCATTTAGGCTCTACCTGATTTTCCAAATATTACGCGACATTTTCCGACGAGCAGAATGTTCCGGCAGCCTATTTGAGTAAATTTTTGTGATCAGCCTGCTTACCGTTCTGTTTGCCTATTATTTATTAACTTGATTAAATTAAACAATAAATGTGAGAGGGAGTTGAGCGGTTTGGTTACATGAAAATGAGATTCAAGAATTCAGAATGGTCGAATAGTTTCTTTACATGTGTATATTGAGTTCCTTCGACACAAAATACTTAAACAAACATCTTCTGAGATAACCTCTACTGTTCAGACAGGTAATAGCGTAGCTTGTTATTCCAAATATCCTACTTCAGTCCTTGGGCCATTATTTCAGGGGCCTCTAATCACATTTGTGGTAATAAATCCCTTTCCTCTACTACTTTTTATTTTCAATGTCTTCCAATATTCACACCGGCCAATGGATCTTAGACCATGTAAACTGGAACAGGTCAAGTTAGCGCACTTCCTTTCCTAACTTTAAATTATGTTCTTTGTATTCTTAGTTGTCAGTTTAATCTTATATCAATTAGTCATTTTAATCAAACATTTAATTGCTCAATGGCTTTCTTCAACAACTTTGTTGTCATAGAGGAATTCAGTACGTGACAAATTATTGGTACCGGACGTGAAAACACACGAACTTTATGACCTTAGCCGAAATTGAACTTAAATATACCGAATCATACAGAAATAATTTGGTATGCTAATGGTAGAACATTTTTAAAAATCAAAAACCGAAATCTAAGTTGCTCTGACACGGCAGTTTAGGTGCCGCACCCGTGTCGACATGACCCTAGTATGGGTGTGGGTATGGTATCCATACCGGATCTGGTCAAATAATTTTGGGCACTTTGACTATGACAGACGGAAAAACTCGAGACGAGATACAAGGTGGGCGTGACTCCAATGGAGGACAAGATGCGGGAGGCGACACTTAGATGGTTCAGCCATGTGAAGAGGTGAGACACAAATGCACCGGTGAGGAGGTGTGAGAGGCTGGCATTGGAGGGCCAACGGAGAGGTAGAGGTAGGTCGAAGAAGTATTGGAGAGAGGTGATTAGGCGAGATATGGCGTTGCTCCACCTTACTAAGGACATGACCATGGATAGGAAGGTGTGGAGGTTGAGAATAAAGATAAAGGGTTAGGTAGTCAAGCATTGTCCATGTTTGTAGCAGTAGCTTTGATACATCACTTAGGCCTTATTTGTTTGCACTTAATGGAGGTTTGAATCTTAATCATTCAAATCTCAGACATTAACTGCGTTTGTTTTTAAAATTTGAATCTTAATTATTCAGATCTTAATCATTAAGTTTGTTTGTTTTTTTACTTCACAACCACTTAATGAGTCTGTATCATTAAGATCTATAACAGAGACTTAATTTCATTAAGATACTATCATCGATATTCATTAACTGCCGCCACCGCCTACCATTATCAACTACCACCATGCCACCCACCACCACCATACTCAACCACCACCACCATCATAGCCGCCACCATTGTCGACTACCATCACCCACCATCCCCACCACTCCCATCACCATTGAAGGTGTTGGTTTATGTTTAGTCAACAATGGCATGCCAATTGGAAGAGTTGGTGTGGATGCTAGGAGGAAGCTTCCTCCTTTGATGTCACCCATGACATCAAGAGGAGGTAGTTTGATGTCACGAATGGCATCAAGAGGAGGTCTTTACCTCTATAAATAGATGCACTCCTTCATTTGTAGAAACCATCCCAAAAATAATACAACACATTGTAGTGAGTAGAGAGTTAAGAGAGAAATTCTCTTAAGTGTAATTGGGAACGCTCCCCTTCCTTTGTT